GGATATCCTGCAATATGATATACAAACAAATTCAGGAAATCACGTGCATGCACGTGTGCTGCAATCTGATTGGCTGAAACTTGAAATGGCTATATCTCCTTTGTTTTTTGACGAAATGTTTTTAAATTTAAAACATAGTCATTCATTAGGATGTCCTACAATACGATATAGAAAAAAATTCAAGAAATCACGCGCATGCACGTGTGCTGCAATTTGATTGGCTGAAACTTTAAATGGCTATATCTCCTTTGTTTTTCAAACAAACAGGATGGGATTTAGAATACAGATAGATATAAGAGACTCCTACAAGATGGTATGGTCATCATGCACGTGCACGCACGTGCGCCCGGGTGCAATGCTAAAATTTGAAAATAATTGGTATCCTTCTGAGGAAACGTTGTTTAAGTCGAAAATGCACAGAGTTTGTCTGATTTAATGAAGCTTACAGGAAATATGGTACCAAAAGGAATTTAGGGAGCGTTTGGGGAACATCTGTAACGGTCCCCGTTACAATTAGCACTAGTTATTATTATTATTATTATTATTATTATTCTTTTTTTTCTTCTTTGTTCTCCGGTACTTTTTTGTCCGCGAGTGTTCTCAGAAACTGTTCATCCAACTAAGCTAAAACCTTTTTAGGGTTAATAGGTGTGTAGTGTAGGTGTGCGGAACGAAGGTCATTTTGCGCGCATACGCATGCACGTGCGTGCGCGTGATATGAGTGAAATGACCGATATACTTAATATAGCTATAACTTTGGCATTTTTTAACTAAATGACCTTAAACTCATTATATGAAGACATATCAATAGTGTAGATAATATGACACTGTCAAATTAGCACGAACTCACGCGCATGCACGTGCGCTTCGCTCTGATTGGCTGAAACAAAAATCTCAATATCTTTTCAGTTTTTTGATGAAATTATATGAAATTTAAAATACAGGCATACTTTAGGATGTTCTACAATATGATATATAGCAATTTTCTTGAAAACACGTGCATGCACGTGCGCTGCAATCTGATTGGCTTAAACTTTAAATGGCTATACCCAGATAGCAGGATGTTATTGGACCTTTGTTGGGCCAACAACGCTCCTTATGTTGGGCCACTGTTTGAATTCAACATTGGGCCATCGGTAATTTGCTCATCGGCCCTTAATCAAACCAACTTGTTGGCTTATTGTTGGGCCAATGTAACAGTTAATATTGGGCCAATGTTGGGCCAGTGTATTATTTCAATATTGGGCAAACGTCATTTTTGTACAATTGGGCCATTGTAAGCAACTAATGTTGAGCCAACGGTAATTTGCTCATCGGCCCTTAATCAGACCAACTTGTTGGCTTATTGTTGGGCCAATGTAACAGTTAATATTGGGCCACTGTTGGGCCAATGTATTTTTTCAATGTTGGGTAAACGTCATTTTTGTACAGTTGGCCATTGTAAGCAATTAATGTTGGGCCTACGGTAATTTGCTCATCGGCCCTTAATCAGACCAACTTGTTGGCTTATTGTTGGACCAACGAACGGATATCATTGAGCCATTGTTGGGCCACTTATTCTTTCAATATTAGGAAAACATCATTTTTGGGCCAACGTTGGTTTGGATCTTATTGGCTCTCCATCATGACAACTCATTTGCTCTTCACTGGTTGGCCATTTGTCCTCAAAATTGACAAACAAATATATACAATAAGGTTATACTAGTTTTGTAGTACAGTTTAATGATAAAAACCCTTTAATACTATCTTGTATGCTATATATGCTAGATTAATAGTTTAATACATATTCTCAATATCTCATAGAATTGCCATCAACAAGTATTGCATTGTAAGTAGCTCTACATTAATTAAATAACTGAGGAAAAAGAAATCAAAATATAAAATTAAGTTATAACATGCTATAATTTTATTGCTCAGTGCATGAAGAAAACATTAATAAAGAATTAAAAGTCGATGCTCACTTCAAGCGATACATGTAGGGTTACATGACTGTATACCCCCTCTCTGATGTAAATTATGCACAAGTTCAGTAAATTACAGGTATCAATAAGCACGTCTAACAAATAAACAAAGCCCTCCTGTTCTTAAAATAATACTCACTGGGTGAAAAAAGTGGTTTCCCATCATGGGAAACTTTATGGAAACCACATGGAAACCTCAAGTTTACATCATGTTTCCCAGTGGTTTCCGCAGCGGATGCCAGGTTATTCCGCCAAGTTTCCGTGACACGGAAACCCCCTACGCTCCGATTCCATAAGGTATCCCGAACCACGGAAACCTCTGTAAACCTGAAGTTTCCCGAACATCCATGTAGTTTCCCGTAATGGGAAACCTAAAGATTCCACTGGTTTCCAGAATCAGGAAACTTGATGGAATCGGAGCGTAGGGGGTTTCCGTGAAATGGAAACCTGGTGGAATCTTTAGGTTTCCTTTTACGGGAAACTACATGAAGCTCGGGAAACCTCACCATTCCTATAGTTTCCGTGACTCAGGAAACCATATGGAATCGGAGCGTAGTGGTTTCCGTGGGATGGAAACTTGGTGGAATCTTAAGGTTTCCTTTTTAAGGAAACTACATGGAAGCTTGGGAAACCTCATGATTCCTGAAGTTTCCGTGACTCAGGAAACCACAGAGAATCGGAGTGTAGTGGTTTCCGTGGAATGGAAACTTGATGGAATCTTAAGGTTTCCTATTACGGGAAACCACATGGAACCTCGTGAAACCTTACTATTCCTAAAGTTTCCTTGACTCAGGAAACTACATGGAACTTGTGTAGCAGTTTCTGTGTGGCGGAAACTTGGTGGAATTATCTGAAGTCCCATTCCTGGTTGAAGTTACTGGGAAACTTCAAGATTCCCCAACTTTTCTTAAGGAAGCGAAGTGAAATTATGTGTATTCTTTCAAAAATCTATCAAAAAAATTATTAAATGTAAGAGAAAAAAAAATCATTACCATTTTATATGTTTAATAATTCATTTGATGTACAAAAACTGTAACAGTATTTTTCAATGATATCAAAATACTAAATAAATTCATATATCTTAGATAAACAAGGAACAGTCTTTCACATTTAAGTCCATTCATAAGCGTCATGAAGTACTTCTTTCAACATCAGTTCCCTGGTATTTCCTTCACATCACCTATGATCTGCAATATTCATACAAAATTATCATATGATGTGTCATAACTTAAAAATCTGAAAGATCAGTCAATGTTCTTTAATATACCAATATCAATAATTACTTTCCATGACCATGATACATATGATTTTAGCATTTAATGTGTCTCTTTAAAATTAAATGCTTCATGATAAGGAAAAATCTTTTACATAATATAAATAATGTTTTCAGCCTCATTATGTCATTGAGAATATATTACAATTTCATAGAACCCTGCTTTAAGTTGAATTAGTTTGAGAGAAAATATACTCTTTATAATAACAAAAATATTAATAGAGAGAGAATCTTTTTTAAATTTTTGATATTTGACCTAAAAAATTGGTTGAAGGTCACTGCAGACCCTCCACACCAATTGCATAAAAGCTAGATTACACCAAGGGAGAAATATACTCTGGACTACGACTTTGAATAAAGATATACAGAACATTTTGATACTGACCTTTGACCTAGAAAATTAGTCCAAGGTCACTCTTCATCCTCTATCCACAGGCTCTCTGTAGTTTAAGTTTGAGAGAGAAATATGCTCAGAACAAGTGATATCAGATGGCGTGATGGGTAGACACACTGTCTAAGGGCATCCACAGAACAGGTCTCTAAAAACAATGCAATATATATGTATTACAGTATGGATATACATGTACTTGTATGTTAATGATTTATCATATGCTGCATTGGACACATACGCTTTTATCATGGTGTAAGTATACATATATCTTATGAGTAATTTTATGCCAGTATTGCATGTACACTCGGTTTATAAACAAATAATTTAAATTTTTTTTTTACAAAAATTGACCAACATTATTTACATCCACTCATCATGTTCATGAATTGGTGGATCAAAATTCAGTCAGTTTTAGATCTCTATGATATACCATAGACAACTTTCACATTTACAAAAGTTATTCCCCTTTGCAGGGTCAATCTGGGGTCAATCGGCTTAAGACACTGTTTTCCCTCTATATAACCGTACCAACTTTGAGGGTCAATATCTTGGAAGTGAAATCTGTATGAACATGTTCATTATGATTTTCATGTTACCCCATACTCTGGCCATACAGATACAGATCGTAATTGTCCAATATCGTTTGAAGATTGAAAAAATACAAGTAACTTACAAAGGACAAAGTGAGAAAAATGAGCGATACACCGACAATTGGAGACAACTCTTAGCAATGTGAAATTTGTCTATTGGTGATGACAATTCCTGTTTTAATGTCACTGAAAAATTAAGAGACATTAAAAATTTAAGCCCTATTGTCATGCATGCATGCTGTTTTTTTTAAGTATTTTCAACCAAACTATAAATTACAATTGCTTGTAATTGAAAGATGGATCCATTACACATTGCACCCCATTACTTTGAAAAAATGTAATGATTACAATGCATTACCATTACACATTACCATTACCCCAGGTCTGTTTTCAACCACATAACCTTTTACTTTCATAAAATTTACCAAAATTTAATACTTCAAATAATTTCATTGAATACATGTATCTAAACATAGGTAATCAGAGATTACAGAGCTCACCTCAACGAATGTTGTCTTTAAATAAGGCAAAGTCACACAATTAACCAACAAAAAGTGTACATTCCAAAAATGAAAATATTCATGCAATTGTGATTTATACTTTGAAATAGACCTATATAAAAAATAAACTAGTTCTTCATGAAATGTAATTAAAATCCAGCATCTGAAGCAAATTTGAGTTTTCATCCCTTGATGCATCATTTGTGCAAGTTTGGTTTACACAATGTTATATAAGCCTTATAGCTTTTTGGTAATAGACCTGCACCCATAACTTTTACCTGGTCCATTATCTGAAAAATTTATGTTGAATTCAGCATTCCATTAGTGTGCATTCTAAAATTATCATCCATGCAAGTTTGGTCATTAAAAAATTCATATTACTTTTGAAATCTGCAACAAAAAATTAGTTTAAATTGTTTACTCAAGCAGAAAATGTAGGTCAGATTCAGCATCTAAGCAAGCCTGGTTATGCATCTTTAGACGTATCATCCATGCAAGTTAAGTCATTATAGGGCTCATAGTATATTAGAAATGAGACCTGCACCAAAACCTTTAACCTGTTCACTCAACCGGAAACGTAGGTCAGATTTCATCCGAAGCAAGCCTGGTAGTATGCATCCTTAAGATGTAAATTTTGGTCAACATAGGGCTTATAGTTACTTGGAAATGAAACCTGCACCAAAAAACTTTAATTTCTCTCTAACCGGAAAATGTAGGTTTCAACATCCGAAGCAAGCCTGGTAGTATGCATTTAGATAATATGCAAGTTTGGTCAACAAATAGTTATTGGAAATGAAATCTCACCAAAAACTTTACCTGTTTAGACTGCTGTAAAATCTATATAAGATTCAGCATCCGAAGCAAGCCTGGTAGTATGCATCCTTAGATGTATCATTTTTGGTCATTATATGCTCATATTTTTTGGAAATGAGACCTTCACCAAAAATTTAACCTGTTCACTTAACCGGAAAATGTAGGTCAGATTCAGCATCCGAAGCAAGCCCGGTAGTGTGCATCCTTAGATGTATCATCCATGCAAGTTTGGTCAACATAGGGTTTATAATTCCTTGGAAATGAGACCTACACCAAAAAGTTTTCACAAAAATTTAACCTGCTCCAAAAACATTAACCTGGTCATTCCTCTTTTTGAAATTGCAGCACAAACTTTGACTGGTACAATGAAACACACTACAAATCTTCCATGCATGTCTAATCAATATAGGACATAGAAGTACTTAAAAAGAAAACTGCTCCAAAAAACTTAACCTGGGATGCCGACACCGACGCCGACGCCGACACCGAGGGTATTACATAAGCTCCCCCAACTTCGTTGAGGTGAGCTAAAAAATTGAGGAAACTCTAAAAACTTAGTGTCAGACTTACAGAAATTAATCTTTGGAGAGAAAAAAATCTATCATAGAAAGATGTGCATAATGAGCCTTTTTTATTCATTTAGAACATATCGTATGTGCATCATTTCCCCAAGAAATTTTCAAAGACAATGGACTATTTGTGAGCAGAAATCATTGCTGTTTACTTAATACATTTGGAAAATTTATGAAAATAATCAAATAATTTCTTTATTTTTGATTTTAGATAATGCTAAAAATAATGTTTAAATAATAACTGCATAAAACTACCCAATATCAAAGTAGAGCTCTTTAGTGTGCAGTTTTTAGAGCTTCCTTAAAATCATCAAAATACTGAACAGCAAGAAATCAGTTAATAACATCTCCTCTTTTTCATTCAAATTTTTTGAGAGATATCAAAGTTTTTTCCTCTTCAATTCAGGTTCGAGATGACAAAGTTTTACTGTAGTGTATGTATTAGAGAACTGATTGTATGTCAATCACGACAATACATACATAACATGGAGGGGGGCAAATTGTTTCAGCCCTAGCTTTTACATAAAACTTCTTGTAGCTCACAGCTGATAAACCACAGCTCAGTATTTAAAATTTAGAATCATTTTTTTTTCAGGCAATTGTTATACATACCAATCATGATTTAATTACCACTTACCAAATGACCACATCCTGAATCATCATACATTTTATATGATTTTATCTCACTGGTTTTCTTTTAAAGTCATGCAGTTTTCTTCTCTCTGAAATGATAAATTATGTTAAGGTACTATTGCATTCTAATTTAAACTAATTATGTAATAGCATTAGCAACAACAGGGATGGGCAAAAAAAAAACAAAACAAGATGCGCTTGTAAAACACTATGTGCCCGGCGGCAACAAAGTTTTGAAAAAGCAATTTTTTTAGCATATAGGTCACAGTCAAGATCACATAATCATTGTCCTTGTTGTCACGTGAAAGCACTTCATAAGTGGAGTATGCATACTAAATATGATGTCACTATCTCATATAGTTCTAAAGTTATGGTGAAGGTTTAAGTTGACAACAGACAGACACTGAGATAAACAGTTATGGCAAAAGTTCGAAAAAGCTATTTTAACATATAATTACAGTCAAAGTCACAAGGTCATTGACCTTGTTGCATTTCAAAGAACTTAATTATCGTAGTATGCATACCAAATATGAAGTCTCTATCTCTCACAGTTCAAAAGTCATGGCAATGGTTCAAGTTGACAACAGACAGAAAGGACAAAATCAATACACGTGCCGAATCTATCAATTCAGGCGTATAAAAATTTCAAACAAATGAGCATCAACTAGTTTGTACCATTCTACTTCTCCTATGTCAGGACAACCATCACTAATTCACTATTTCATACAAGTCTTTTTTTCAAAATATTTAATCTAATGCAATAGCTCACCAGCAGAATATGATATTGTGCTCGACTCATTGTTTGCCTGCACCACAGTTATGTAGAATGTGGCGTATGTTATAAACTTATAATTATATTCAGATATAAGAAGCATGTTATTTTTTATGACAGCTAAGTCTGTTCAGTTAGACAATACCATGTACACTGTACATGTATGTAAGTAGTTTAATTGTGCTTGATTATTTACTTATTTTCTTCTCAACTTAAAGCTGAACACAACTCGTAAATAGGCATACGCCATTTTCGATAGCATTATCTACGATACATCAATACTAGGGTATACTCGTTGCAATCGTTACACCTGACTGCTTTATTGTCACGGGTATTGGCGTGGAATAGCAACCCGTGATCGTGCTGGTTATCTTGCATTACCTTTTTTTTTTTTACATTTTATTGCAGTTACGTTTATCTGTGTTTTTTGTATATTATACTGACTTATAAAACTATAATTGTTTTAAACTTATTTGGTATCTTATTTTCCTGCATTAGATGAAGTATTACGTTATTACTCTCGCTACCGAGTTCTTCTGTATAGCGTACGTCCGTCTTCACCAGTGAAGACTAATTACACTGAACAGTGACCAACTGCTGCCCTATTTACAGCGGTCTGCAGAGAAGATAGACTCGGGAACAAAAATGGCGGACAGATTCCTTTTACGAATCGTATTCAGCTTTAAAGTGTTCTGTATTTTATTACCAAGTTTGTAATAAGCATTTTGAAACATACTATCAATATTAATTCACTATGAAGGCTTAATTTTCTTTTTTTACATCTTCATCTCAGCAGGTTAGACAGTACAAAAAAATCTTTTGAGCAGTAAACTATTTCAATAAACAAACCTATTCTCTTCAGAGAAGTGGACAGGCTTTCACCTACATTCACTTTTTTATGTATATTTTCCCTCCATATCATCATCATGCATATGATTAAGGGTTATGCTACAGTATTGGCTACAATCTATTCCAACTGTTCTGAATGATGATATCCTTCATGATAATCGGATAAGCTGAGATTGAAGACACTTTTTGTAAAAATATTGATGCTTTTATCAAGGTTTTGAACCAAAAGTATTTCATTCATACCTTGCCATAAGTCATAAGTTCCAAAAATCAAAAGAGTTGGCTATCCGAAAACGGAAAGTCAGAAGAAAACACATGTATGTATTCAAACCGGATGTACTACAGTCTGAATTTAACTACGAAACCATGCTCGGTATAACTATTATCATCCGGATAATTTGAGCGGGGTTAAAAATATATTTTTGTTTAAATCCGAAAAGTATTCATTTATATTTAGAGAGAGAACATACATATTGAGCATACATTTTAATAAACATGGTGAAAGGCGAAACGTTGCCATTTTACAACATACGGTGCCTTGGGACCTCTATAATCTATTTAAGTTATGTTGTATCACTGTCTCAAATCTCTCTCTCTCTCTCTCTCTCTCTCTCTCTCTCTCTCTCTTGCAATATATGCACTTAACAATTTAAAACTTAGATATCCAACTTTTTAAAATGGCGTCAGAACAAAAGTTGCCTCCGATAGTGAAGATTTGTTGTTGCCAAATATTACAATTATTTGCCGTAAAAAGTTAACAAAAATATACGTACATTAATCCTTGGTCGTTGGTCATTGCATTTATCACAGTCTTAAAGACACTGGGTGGTGAAAACATCAACTTTTCACATTTACGAGCTGCTTACACCTTCTTCTTCGTCCTTCTCGATCCTCCAAAAATGGCGCCTCGGGAAATTGACCAATGAAATAAAGCGCCTGCAGAGCGATGCAGGATGGGAAAATAAACTGTTTACATTCACTATGATTATGTGTGATTATGAGATTTTATATTAGAATTTAGAAGTTTTCCCCTGTTCATGGAATAAAAAAAAGGGGCTCCTATTAAAATATTTTTTGTCGATATGATGTGTAGGCCTAGTATATTTAGATAAAAAGCGGTTAAATACGTGAGAGCAGAGAAAAATTATGTTTCTTGCGTGACACCTCAACTTATTTGCCTTCGGGATGAGGGGTTCGGGGCTTGGTTGTTGGTAGTGGCCGTCCTAGCTGAAAGTACCCCCCCCCCTCCCCGCTACTTTTAACTGTTATAATTATGAATTTATAATGTCACATCAAAAGATGTTAAACCTTTAAAGGTACATTTTTTCTAATTGCGAACGTTCCACAGGAATCCTTAAAGGCATGAAAATGAGTTACAATTATAATACATGTATAATTAACAATAACCGTCCTTATTTTTTTTTTTATTTCAATAGTGATGATTGAAAAGTTCGGTGTTTAATAATTAATTGCTTATAATTTTTGGGGGGATTAAAATACTACTAGAACTCCCTCCTTTTCTGGTTTTAATTAGATTTTGAGCCTGCTATCAATATACTGTATTATTACTGGTGGACCTTCTAGACGTTTCTCTATTTGCTACATGTAGGCCTAAATTGTACTTGAAACTTCTTTGCCTTTAGCTAATAACTTTCCCACATCATTTTAACACGTAAAATTGTTAAATGAATTAGGATGTTGAAAATCTTTTTCTTAGGAGAGTTACATGTATCTCAAGATGGAATAAAACTTACATCTAATCAAAGGCAAGAAAATATAATAGTATTTTAATTCAGTATTTAGTCGTGATGGGTATAAGTGAGGTCATGGGAAAAATTATGTCAAAAGTCATCTAGATACTCGTTGATGTACAGGGCTGTACTTATGCATATACAGCTTTAGCTGGTCCCGCCCTGTATTTCTTTTAATGTTTTTTTTTCGTTAAGAAATCTGGTAAGGTATGCTAGTAAAAAAAAAATCCCGCTAAGTTTATTACCCTAACGGAAATTACTTTCTTACAGGCCTGAAGTTCGAGTCTATTAGTCAAATTTAAGAATGTCACGCATCTTTTTTTAAAAAGAGTAGCATGTCGGGGAATAAGAATAAAGTAATGTTCAATTTAGATAAAGAAAATTAATGTTTGTTGAAGTATTGACAAACTTCATACCTTTATATAATGAAATCAACAAAAACTGCACAAAAATACAATCGTGACAATTATACAATTAATTCTTTTAATAGATTGCCTCAAGTTAGCATCCACTACTTTAAAAGCCGTTGTTCTTCAGGAAAACAAAATGATGCAAAATATTATAGACTTTTCTTTATCTAGAGAAATGGCCTTTGGAGAAAAGAATGGCTGAAATTTTTAAAGTTTGTTAAATATATGTGCATGATCATATGTGCATTTAGGACCCTACATTGTAATTTTATGCGAAAAGTGTAGACGTTTACTTCACGGGGATCTGCGTACATATAAACAAAAAAGGAAAAAAAAGTTTTATGTAATGAATATTATAACATTATTTAATAAATGCCTTTGTATAGTACGTTGGATTACAAATTTCACACAAAAACTCATCAAGACTATTAAATACAGTGTTGATTTCACATTGATATATTAAGTAATTCTGATTTAATATAATTATACACGACGAGAATTTAGATCTAATCAATACCTATAGAAAATTATTTAATTTCTAAAGAGCATAGTTTTTTCAAATCAGTAATGAAAATTGAAATAAATATTCTAAATAGTTCGTTCTTTCATTGAACATCTTAAAATAAATGTATGTTATTTTATAAATATGTTCTCTTGTATAACTTTATTTATGAAATATACAATTTTTTAATTGATAAAAAAAACACAAATCGTCATCTTAATTCAAACGAATTTTCGGTCGGAGGCTGTGTGTGTACATGCTCGACAACAGCCCATTGTTCCCTTTAGGTAGAAAACCGTCTCAATTCACATGGAATATACAAAAAATATACACAGTGACAGGTGTCTTCGCGGCACGTGTCTCCACCTGATATGGCACGTGAGGACAGGTGCCCGTAGTTATTACACAGGCCGACTATAGTGATTTTTTCAAGTGTGGTTTTATTTCTTTTTTTTTGAAGGGGGGGGGGCTTCTCTAGGAAAAATGAAAAGCAATCCACCCACCCCCAATAATAATAATAATTTATTAAATTTAAAAAAAACAATCTTACTAAAGTAAAATACTAGTATGATAATACTCAGCCCCAACCAATTCGATGGATTTTATCAGACCAGTTTACTTTGAGCTCTATGTAACCATACTTACTCTTCTATATTTTGTTTTTTTTAAAGGTCAGACGATACGTTTCCCATTAAGTATCTGTTTTGTGAATCTTCATATTAATGTATAATAAATTTGTATAAAAATCTTTATTACTTTCTAAACTGGTTTTTAATAATTTGAAACACTAAAAATGTAATTGTGACAAACCAACTGAAGAATTTTTTCCTGAAGGATTACCCCGGTATATAAGAGATGCCAACCTCTGGTATCTCACACAAAATGCCTTGTAAGGTACCTTGAGTTTTTGTGAATACATGTTATAATGTAAAAAAAGTAAGTCTTCAATGTCAAAATATTGGAAAAAATTATAATTATATTATTGAGGAACGTCTCATCTGTCCTTAATCACTACATTTTATATAATCGCAACTTGACATATTTCTTTATTTACTTTTTTATCGATCTTTTTACCTTTTCTGTAAATAATATCATTAAAGGTGCCCTTCGCTCTTGCATTTTTTTCAAAGGAACATTCAACATAGACAGCTTACAAGAAAGTGGGATCGGAAATGATTGATATCTACATAACTGCACTTAATTTTCTCTATTCCATTTCATGCATTCTATATGAGTTTACCAAAATTTATTTGATAAATTTTTAATATTAAATTGCGTTCACGGTGCTGAAATATTAAATTTTATCACGCAGAAATACACATCTAGTTATTTTAACTGTTTGAAGGGAAGTTAATTATTTTGATACAGCATGTAAACACTTTTGAAATATTTCTATAATTGGTAAGCATATGGTAACATCAGAAAATATTTAACTTTTTGTAAAATAAAAAGTAGGTGGGTTAGCATTGAGATATACTTTCAAAGTTTCTCTACCTGGGAAACAAGGGGGAAACTACACATTGGTGGCTTCCATGTCGGGAATTTATATGGAAACCACTGAGGCATGTTTCCATGGTTTCCTATCTTGGGAAACTAACGGGAAACCACAGGTTGGTTGTTTCCATGTCGGGAATCTACATGGAAACCACCAGGGCATGTTTCCATGGTTTCCTATCTTGGGAAACTAACGGGAAACCACAGGTTGGTTATTTCCATGTCGGGAATCTACATGGAAACCACCAGGGAATGTTTCCATGGTTTCCTATCTTGGGAAGCGTACGGGAAACCACAGGTTGATTGTTTCCATGTCGGGAATCTACATGGAAACCATTATGTGGTTTCCATAAAATGGAAACTATATGGAAACTACTGATGTCACGATTCCCATATGTTTCCATCGGGTTTCCAAATTTGGGAAACCTGGCTTTTCATCCTGTGACTAAAATGAATCCCGTCATTTTGTTTACTTACACAAAAAATGTTTCTGGCATCTGCATCGTGTTTATAACCGACAAACAGACACAAAAAAGGTATAACTACAGGTATGTCACACTATATTACAGAAAAAAAGTTAGGCACTGCCACTTTCCATCTGATCCCTCTCCTAAGTCTCCATTTCCTCTTCCCGAGTCTCCTCCTCCCCCTTCTTTTCTTCTCTGTCCGTTTCTTCCTCCCCCATCCCTGTCTTTGGCATACCTTAGCCATTCTTTGATTGTGTTCTCCATGTCTTTTTAGAATCTCCAATAACACTAAAATTGTAATATTTGGTACTTAATACATTTGTTACTTTTTAAAGAGTAAACATACGATTAAATTTACAAGTATATCACTATATGTTTAAACTGTCAATTAAGGAACAACCGTCTTTTTTGTTTCATGGTGTGATTAAGTGATTAGCTTGTGTGATGAAGGCATTTATGCATGATATTTATACGCTTGATAATCATCATCAAAACAATTTTGATTCAATGTTGCCCCATATAAAATACATGTATTGAAAATTTGACGTTACAATGAACAAATTTTAAATGAAAGAACCCAATTTATTTTTAGTACTGAATAAATTTTGTATTAACATCAGCAAGTTCATCATTTTCAAAATGTTTGATCATGTACTCGACGTTAAGTGTATATAAGTAAATTAAGTTAGACTTCAGAAATGTATTCTACTGTAGACACAAATTTCAATTTAAACAAGGAGCAAATTATTTATTGTTGTAACTGTATCAAAACACATTTTTATACTTTCATTTATTTTTCTTGTATAGAAACAAAAAAATTAATCACTGATAATTTATTTTGTTTTGATAAATTATAAGAATTTTAAATTTATTTTAGCTAGATTGATTTTTCAAGAAGGATTGGTTGTAGATTTATTTCTGAATGTAGAGACGATCAGATTTGTTAATATACAGATTTGTAACAATTAAATGTTTATACACATTGGCCCAATGTTGGTCCAAATATCGGGCCAACATTGGGCCAAGGAGCAAAATGACACTGGGCTAATGTCATTTGCCAACATCGGCCCAATGTTCTTGTTGACGTTTCGCCAACAATGTAGCATTCATTGGGCCAATGTTGGTGCAACGTTGGGCCAATATCTGTAGAAATAACACTCCACATTGGGCCAACGTTAGCCCAACATATCGGGCCAACACTGGGCCGATGAGCAAACTTAAATTGGGTCAATGCCATTTTCCAACATTGGCCCGATGT